AAAAAAAAAAAAAAAAAAAGAGCAGGAAGCCATTAAGAGAAAATTTATTGAGGTAAGAAAAACAATAGGATAAGATGAAACATGGAATGAGATACTCCAATTCAGAAAAAGTAAAAATGTAATTTTTTCTAAAACACACATGGAAAGCTCACTTTAATATAATAATTGAAGGAAGAAAGAGATTAAAATTATAAAGGAAACAGATATGGGGCAGGCAATGATGATTCAAATAAAAAATCATCAGTGTTCCTCTAGGTAGTGGGGAGAAATTTTGGAGAGGGTGAAAGTAGTAGTTGGAATAATTAAGAAAATTGTATACCAGGGCATCCAAACTGAAAGGCTCATCAAAAGTATAGAAAATGAGTTAGTCAGACTCACCAAGAGTCTTTCTAGAAAGTGGTTTGGGTTTCAATGAAAGAGAAAAGTATACTAAAAATATCAAGGCAGAAAATCCAGTTTACAAATTGAGAAATGAAGTTATGATGACTTCAGATTTGTCTTCTAAAATAATAAATCAGACAGATAAAAGTGTAATGAATGCATATTATAAGTGGAAATGTTTGTGGCCTAATAATTTTATATTCTTCCTAAAGTATACCGCTCATAAATGACATAGTACAGTTCCTGATGTCATCACTGTTAAATAAATGCTAGATTTATTGAAGACAAGATACATAGAAACTCACAGTATAAAAAGATTGAAAGTGAGCATGGAAATAAGTTAGGCACAGATATAAGTATAAACATTATAAAATGAGTAAAACGTAAATTCAATATCAAAAGTCATTCTTGTTCAGATATTCAATAAGTATAAGTCAATATTCTAATAAGATGGAAATATAGATTGAAAGAAGTATAGAAGAAGTAATAAGCGTGGTACAAAAATCTCCTAACTGAGGGATTCAAAAGATGTCAAATTTTTAACTTTAATAAATAAATAAGTATGGGTTTTGAAAACCTTAAATGCTAACCACCGCACTACATAAAACAGTACACCTAACTTCCTACACACTAAAAATTATAAAAATACAGCAAACAGTATACATATGCCAATGACAAAACAAAATGGTAAAGGATATAGAAAGCATAAAACAAAATGATAAATTTACACTAAAGAAAAACTATATATGATATATAGTTATATAAATTTATAGACTGCCTATTAAAAAGCAAAGAATCACAGCTTTCATAGAAAAAAATAAAACTTGCCTATAACATATTTGAAAGAAGTGGATAGAAAATTTTAAATAGAGAAGTGAATATATTCTATTCCAAATAAAATAAAAAGAAAGTAGGTTGATGTATTAGATTTAAATTCCAATTCATCACCCTTTCCTGAATCCATTCCATTTGCTTTGTTATATTCCTACTACAGGTAGGGAAATTTGTCCCACTTCTTGATATAGACACAAGTAATATGGTTTCCCCTGGAAAATAGGACCTTGGTAGATGTAATACAGGCAGAGGCTTTCACGTTAGGCTTAGCCTCCCCCACCTTTGTCATCACTATGAAAGTGTCACTGGTCTAGCCTGCTAGAAGAGGATGTAAAAGAGCTAAGTTCTTCAGTTGTGCTGGTCTCACTGGCTGATAGCCAATTAACAGACAAACACACTAGTGAAGCAAACCAAGAAGAGTAGTGCCACCTAATTCCCACCTAACTCTACAAGTGTAAGTAATAACTGCTTTATGTCAAATGCCACTAAGGATCTGGGGATTTTTTTTTGTTTCATTTTGTTTAGCTTTATTGTGACATCATCTACTTTTTCTCACTGGTAATATTAATATCAGGTAAAAAAAATAAAAAAAGTTTTTAAATGACACGAAAAGTTAAGTAGAGTACTGTAAAACTCTCAAAGAGCATTGAACTGATTCAACTCTGGTATATTTTTAGGAATGGAAAAAAAGTTCTAGGTATCAAAAACTTATGGGAACCCCCAATAAAATTATCTATAAGTGGATTTCTCAGCAGAAACTTTGCAAGCTAAGAGGCAGTGAAATGATATATTTAAAGTGGTGAAAAAGAAAAACTTCCAACCCAGAATTGTATAACCAGCAAAACTGTCCTTCAAAAATGAGAATAAAATTAAAAATCCCCAAACAAAAGCTGAGGGAGTTCATAACCACTAGACCTGCTCTACATGAAATACTAATGACAGTCCTTCAAGATGAAATGAAAGAACATTAGACACTAACTCAAAGTCATATGAAAACATAGTTTTCTGGTAAAGACAAATGATAGACAAATATGAAAAACAGTATTACTGTAATTTTGATTTGTCATTCTACTTTTTACTTTATTTTAAAAGACAAATGCATAATAATAGTTATAAATTTATGTTAATAGGTATACAATATATAGATATAATCTGTGACATAAATAACATAAAGTGAGGGAAGCAGAGCTGTAAAAGCATAGAGTTCTTATGTAAAAGTTAAATTTTTATTGAAGTCTTTATTGTTATTAAGTTAAGTTAG